AAATTTTGATATAAAATATTATAATATATAAATTACATCATTAATTTCATATGTACGTAATAAAGTAATATATTATATATATACATACATTTATTTTATATATAACATTACTGTAACTTATAATAGACTTTACTTATATTATTACACTTAATAATTTTATTTGTTATCGTTTTAATTTTTACAATATATTATTTATAATCAATTATTATTTATATAAATTTTGATATAAAAATTAAAATATTATAATATATAAATTGTGTGATTAATTTTATATATATAATAAATTAATATATATTATATATATTTAATTTATATATTTTATAATTACAGACTAAATTTATAAGTTTTGATAATATAATTTATAAAACAAAGTGATAAAAGTTTGATCAATTGATCCTAAATTAAATTGATCAAATTAATTTTATATTTGATCGATTTTAATTAATTTTTTAAAAATATTTAATTTTTAATATGATTAACCAAACTACTTAATCCCTGCCATGTTAAGCCACCGACTGTTACCTGTAAAGAGATCCTCAGGCTTTTAATAATTGAGGGTGGCTTTGCCTGCCTTCTAACTTACGCTTGAAACCGGTTCCGCTGGCTGTCAATTCAATCGCCAAAAGCTCCTTTTAAGAAACGGAATCAAAAGGGGAGACGATTCAATGGTTGGGGAAAGAGACAAACGAGCAAACCCTCTAAAGATTTAACGTGAAAAACCCATTTTACAAGCAACTGTAAATGTTTCCAAGCCTCGGGAGCCAGAAACCCAAATCTAATAATTGCACGTAACTTGAAAGAATGAAAGCAACTGTTAATCGATACGTGTTAAACTTTGTTGTGAAACACAAATATCGAATTTGATTGATAGAGGAGGTCGGGGACAGGATATATTCTGGCTTTAAAGATTCAAGAGGCCCACGAAAGCTTTGATACCATAAACTAATAAAAAATATTGACTCAAGGAATCGTATGAAGATTGAAAGATTCTGAAACCACAGCCAACCATTTGTCCTTTTCTTTTTGTATAATTGTATCTACTTGGTCTGCTAACATGATTGAAGGTAAACTGAGACATAAGATACCGACATGAAAGAAAGAAAAAAGAAGAAGAAAGAACCACCTCCAAAGGGAAATGGTCCATTCTACACATCATTTCAACACTATTAAATGACCATGATATTGACCACAAGAAAAGCTTAATAAGGCAAAGAAATAGACTGGATTTTGAATTTCTATGCTCATCAAATATCATTAAAGAAAACCCAAGTTTTGGGTCCAAAATTAAATGTTTGAGTTGGCTAAGATTAGTATCAATGCAAGTTGAAAACTTGTGATCAATCAATAAAGAAACATTGAATTGCACATGTTCTTTTATTTATTTTTTGTCATTTCAACTTTTCCTCTTTAACATCTTATAATTTTTTGAATTAGTATCTTATAAATAATCTATACAATTAGCATTTTATGAATAATTTCTGATATCACAAAATATTAAATTATTAATTTATTTAATAAAATTATTAACAATAATTTTAAATTTGAATAAATAAATTTCACTTTGAATTGATGGTATGTTGATAATTTTATTAAATAACCACTTAACTTTTTGTTAGAAGAGAAGAGAAGTTATTCCCAAAATGTTAATTAAGAAAAAAAATCTTTAGACAATGCTAATTGAAAAATAATAATAATATCATGTGAAAAAAATTAAAATTACAAAAAATATAAAGCACAGTTATCCTTTTATTTTTACTCAAAAAATGTGAGACTTGGGATAATCCTTAGCCTATTATGATCTATAATGAAAAACGCTCATCCCTTCTTCATCAATTCTCAACAAAGCTGTCAAGTCTACAGTATTATAGGGAAAGTCTCTTCTTCTCCTATCCATTTTAGTTGAAAAGTGACTGGTTTTCACCCTTCTTATTGCAATACAAACCATGCTTACTTTATCTGGTCTGATTTTTTAATGCGATTTTTGTTTTTATAAAATAGATAAATTAATTAAAAACAGACTAAACAAACACTAAATCTAAAAGATTTCATTGATTTGATTACATAATCTGTCTATCCCCCATATGCTAAACTTGAATATTAAAATTCGGATAACTCAAATGAATTTAATAAATAAGTACATAAGTGAGAATCTAATTAACGATGACAAATAGATTGAACCAATCCAGTTTCAACCGTGTCGTGTTTTGCCATTAACACGACTAGATGTACCTGCTGGCAACTGTTTTTCTTTGGGGTTATTAACAGCAGTCGTAATAGGAGTGACACAGGCGAAGCTCAATCTACGAGAGTAACAGTGTAGGAGAAATAGATTAAGCAGATGCGGCTAGGTCCTTAACATACTTACTTTCATTTTAGACAAGAACTAACAAGTAATTGCTAAACGACACTGATCCAAAAATACTTGGCTATTATTAGAGGGAAGGGGGGTCCAGTCCAGCTAATTGCCACTAAACTATAACATCAGATAAAGTGGGAGAAACAAACCTTTCGAGCCTGTTCTGATTAAACATTTGCAATAATTCTATCATCTAATCAAAAATCCTCTCTTTCCTGTGAACCTTTTTTGGATTACTTTTGCTGATAATAGGCCACTAGATGACTCAATTTCTTGATGTTCACACCCAGCACAGAATTCTACATTCTCAGCTCTTTAGGATGGGCAAACCATCAGTTTCCACTTGGCACTGCAGCCTGGTAATGATAATTGCTTCAATTGAAGTAAAGTTAAACAGCCGGCAGCTTTTAATCCTTGTCAGCATCCTCGCACAAATGGGGAATTAGTGGAATCCCCATTATCACTTTCCTTGTGATTATTGGTAGATGCGGAAGGTGGGTTTTCTGGTGAAAAGACAGTGCTGATATATTAGTCAACATAATTGCAATTACAGACAAATTATTATTGCAGATCTAACACTACAATCTCTTTTCCTTCTTCCAATCATCAGCTCTTCTCTGTGCATTACAATGACAAACAAAGACTCCCCTGATATTTCATTTGCCGCGTTCATATCGTGAACCGTGCGTATGGTATCCGTCAAAAGAGGGAGACATATATACACGTACATGTTAATTCTGTGTTAGATTTGCCAGCAAGATTCAGGATTTTACAGATAATGAAAGCAACTGGCAGATTAAGCCATTAAGGACATTGCTCACCACGAATGATGTTGATGACCTGTATATGTCAAAATAGAGCGACCAAATTGAAAGGAACTTTTCTTCTACCTGCTAAAATGTGACAGAGTGCCTGATTGTTGTAAAAATTCAAATCTCTAACTTCGATTTAGAATCAAATCTTTTGACAATTGCAGGTTTCTTTTTCATTCAACTTTTCTCTGGATCCTATATCCATCAGTCAAGGTTTACATCAGGCCGCATGCAATTCACATACAAAGAGGAATTAGCTTCTTCTAAGGATAAAACATATGCTATAATTTATGAACTGATAGTTGGATCAAGATGGGTGTAAATACGAAAAGGGGAAGCTACCCAGATCGAATTTAGGAGGTGGTTTACCCAAATATTTAATGATAGCAGCAACTAAATCCGTTTTAAAAGCAACTTGGCTTAGCGAAGCCATTTTCATGCCGTGAGTGAATGCCCTGCTTTCGGGGCTTAGAATTAATCAAATTTCCATTTTGGTAGCCATTAATGGAGAAGTAATGACTTTGATGTAAAGTGTTCAAATCAATGGCCATCGTTTGCCACTTGATTCCTGTTTTTGCGTACCCCAAAGAGGAATTAGCCATCATTTTATGAGATTTGAGGGACTTAACATTATTGTTTTATACATATTTTAAGCATCAATCATTGAAAGACGAAATTACTAATATTTGACAAAGCTACTTTGTCGGGAATGGATTTTGAGTCAGACCAGTCTCATCATATAGTAGACCCTTGGTGACCTATGCACTCAGCATTGCAAAGCAAGCGAAATTCCATTTAGGAAGAGAATCTATTAATTAGTCCAACCTTAGCGTCGCTTCCCTTCCCATTGTCATTCATCCACAGAAAAAAAAAAAAAAAAACACCCGGCAAGTCCTTGACAGAAGAGATGAAGCCATTGAAATTCAAATTACTAGAAGTCTTGCTGTTTCTGACTTTGTATTACACAAGCGTCATAGCAGAAGAGAAGATCCAGCAAACCGAAAGGACTTACATAGTTCATATGGACAAGTCCAACATGCCAGAAAGTTTCACTGATCACTCCTTATGGTATGACTCATCTTTAAAATCTGTCTCAGACTCGGCATCTATGCTTTACACATATGAATATGTCATCCACGGCTACTCCACGAGGCTAACAGCTGAGGAAGCTGAAACACTACGAAAACAACCTGGAATTCTCTCTGTCCTACCTGAAGTCAGATATGAATTGCATACAACTCGAACACCAGAGTTCCTTGGATTAGGAAGGAGCAGTGATCTCTTCCCCACTTCTAATTCAATGGGTGAAGTGATTGTTGGCATATTGGACACAGGAGTTTGGCCCGAGCTAAAAAGTTTTGATGATTCGGAGCTTGGGGCAGTACCAGCTGGCTGGAAAGGCGAGTGTCAGGTAGGCAAAAACTTCAACTCATCAAGCTGCAACAGGAAGCTAATTGGTGCCAGGTTTTTTTCAAAAGGGTATGAAGCTGCGTTTGGACCTGTTGATGAAAACATGGAATCAAAGTCCCCGAGAGATGATGATGGACATGGAACTCACACAGCAACTACAGCAGCCGGTTCAGTTGTGCCTAATGCTGAATTGCTAGGATATGCTTCTGGAACAGCACGTGGGATGGCTTCACATGCCCGAGTTGCTGTCTACAAGGTGTGTTGGCTTGGTGGGTGTTTTGGCACTGATATTCTAGCAGCCATGGACGCAGCTGTTGCTGATGGAGTGGATGTTCTATCAATGTCTATTGGGGGAGGAATATCGGAGTATTATGGTGACACTGTCGCCATTGGAGCATTCACAGCAGCAGCACATGGAATTTTTGTATCTTGCTCGGCCGGAAATAGCGGACCCATTCCAAGCAGCTTGTCAAATGTTGCTCCATGGATAACCACCGTAGGTGCTGGAACGTTGGACCGTGATTTCCCCACCTCTATTTCTTTGGGAAACGGCGACAAATACTCTGGCGTGACACTCTATAATGGAAAGCAGTTACCTGATTCCTTGGTGCCACTAGTTTATGGTGGTAGCGTGAGTAACTCAAGTAGTGGAAGCCTTTGCATGGCTGGAAGTTTGATTCCAGAAAAAATTTCTGGGAAAATTGTGGTATGTGATCGAGGGGGTAGTACGAGGGTGCAAAAAGGAGTGGTAGTGAAGGCTGCTGGTGGTGTAGGGATGATTTTGTCAAACACTTATTCTTTTGGAGAAGAGCTAGTTGCTGACGCGCATCTCTTACCTTCAGCAGCCGTTGGGCAGAAGGCTGGGGATGCAATCAAGAAATATATATCTTTCAATCCTAATCCAACAGCCACAATTGGTCCTGGAACCACAAAGTTAGGCGTTCAACCATCTCCCGTGGTAGCAGCATTCAGTTCTAGAGGACCAAATCCAGTCACTCCAGCAATACTTAAACCAGACATTATTGCACCAGGAGTAAATATCCTTGCTGGGTGGACTAGTGCAGTTGGTCCGACTGGATTAGATAGTGACAAAAGGCATGTAACCTTCAACATCATTTCAGGCACATCAATGTCATGCCCCCATGTTAGCGGGTTAGCTGCACTTCTCAAGGCTGCTCATCCTGAATGGAGTCCAGCAGCGATTAAATCTGCTCTGATGACAACAGCCTACACAGCTTACAAAAGTGGTGAAAAAATCAAGGATGTCGCAACTGGAGGACCAGCAACGCCATTCGATTATGGTGCTGGGCATGCAGATCCAGTTGCAGCCCTTGATCCTGGCCTTGTCTATGATGCCAGTGTTGACGACTATCTTGGTTTTCTTTGTGCCTTGAACTATACACCAGAACAAATTAAGAGCACAACGCACAGAGACTTCACCTGCCATACAAGCAGTAAGTACACCCTGGGAGATTTTAATTACCCATCCTTTGCTGTTCCTCTGGAAACTGCTTTAGGCAGAGAGGGTGGTGCTGGCGTCTCAAGCACCATCAAATACACTAGGACCCTTACTAATGTTGGTGCCCCGGCAACCTACAAAGTTTCTTTGTATTCACAGACCCAAGCAGTGAAAATCTCGGTCGAGCCAGCAACACTAAGTTTCAGTGCCCAATACGAGAAAAAGAGCTATACCGTGACTTTCACAGCTACCTCTAAGCCATCTGGTACAACCAGCTTCGCCCATCTGGAATGGTCAGATGGAAAACACACTGTTGGTAGTCCAATAGCTTTCAGCTGGACATAACCATGACAAAAATTGGGTTCATGATTCTAATATTGGGACTGCCAAGTGCCATTAAAGGATAAGTGATCTCTCTTACAAAGTCATGAATACGTCTTTGTACTATTTACATTACAGCAACTGTGGAGGCAGAGCCAGCTGTGTTTTTAAATGCTCTTGAATAAACTGAGGGGAGCATAAATTAAAAAAAAAAAAGTCAGGACAAGGTGGGAAATAACTGTACAGTGACCTACCTGTATAAGGAAATGTCATGTGAATTTAGATTGGATTCCTAGTTATAATTCATGCTTTCTAAATCTTACATACTTCTCAATTCCTGTCTTTCATGATTCACACGCACCGTTGCATAACAAAAAAGAGGGTTGCTGTTATTCATATTTCTATTTTTTTCTTTTGTCATTGATTTCATACTTAAACCTATAAGATTCTTCATAAAAAACTTGCTGCCTGAGCAATCAAGCATTGCTGATCACCTAAAGATTTTGGGTCTCTCTGCCCCACTCAGTGTTACAGCAAAACCAACAGAGAAAACAGAGCATAGGATATTCATCATAGGTACCCAAGATACCACTGCTTTTAATGTGTATTACAGGGTTTGCCACAGGTAAACCAAAGGAAACAAAGGAAAGAACCAACAACAAAGCAGAGACATTGGCCTTTCATTACAGATTAGGTAGCATTAACACTAGTGATGATAGCAAAGTAGGAATTTTGAAGAGCAATTTAAACAAAGAATTATTCATTACAACAGTAAAAAGATCTGTCAAATACCTCCTTGGATATCTGCCTTGGCCGTCAATATAAAATATTAAGTGACTCATGTCTCTCTCCTTATGCATAAACTGATTTTTTACTCATTATCTGAAGCATGTAGAATGATTTCTTCAAGCAAATTTTGAACCATTATAAATTTGCTTATAAATAAGTAGAATCAAACAAAATGACCTGAATATTGACTAATTTGTCGTACTTTCAGCCAAGAAGCTTAACCAGTCAAAGGAATTAGTGATAGATCCAGCCCATACACATTGGACTTGTTCTTTTTCTAAAACTGATTCTCTGCAAGATGTTCTCAGCACATAGTTGATCCAGTGACAAAAAGATAATGAAACATGCATGCAATCCTAATTATCCAAATTCAGAAAATGATGGAAGATGATGTTGAAGTGCTTTTGAGATCAAAATCTAGTTTAAGGGAGGAAAACAATTCTGATATTGGATGTAATCATCATTCAGGGTCCTGTAAAGACTGACAAACGGGGAGATAATACATATCGAGTTGCCAATATTTGTGTCTCACACCTTGCCAAACTTCTTCTCCCAAGCAATCCTTAACAGGCAAGGGAATCAATTGTGTCGAGTACCCCAAATTCTCCAGTTCTAGTGAAACTAAATGGCAGTAAACAACATGGAAAAATGCATTACCTCCACAAAGGCCATTAAAAAAAGAGTAAATTCCTCCGGGCTTCAATAACTTAGGAAGATGCTGATGAAACTCCCTCAGGTCTTCATAGTATTCTCCATAGGTGTCAAAGAAAATGCCTAAAACGGTTTTGCATACAATTCAAAGTGTTATTATATAGGAAGGTAAGACTATATAATACAAGGATACATTTCTAGATTAAAGGATATTCAACGTTAGCAGGTAGCAATTTTTCTTTACCTTTTGTTTCTGTGGTTCTGTAATGTAAGAACCTTCCAACTCAAAAATTCTACTTGTTCAAAGAAACTATGCTACATGTTTCATGAAAACTGTACTAGGTAGGTTGGTGAAATTTCTTTATGTGATACATTGTTAATTGAATCAACTTTATTAGCATATCTCAAAGACAGAAGATCTCTAATCTAGAACAGTGGTATAATTATAGCATGGTGATGAAGTTGATCCATATCAGCAACGAAATAAGAAAATAACATATATGTAAATGACATATATAGTATACATACAAATGGACAGATATTGAAAGGGAAAAATGAATCTTAAATTACCATCATAAGATTCAAGCTCCGAAAGAACATCTTGCCAACGGCCAAATATTATTTTTACGTTATCCTTCTTGCCCCAACCAGTGCGAAGCATACGCTCATAGACCTCAGGATGAGCCTCAATAATTGTGTGCGTAGCTGGACCATACTGTTGAATAGCTGCATCTACAAGACCCATCCCAAATCCAACATTTAGTATGTTACCACCTCCAGAGCAAACTGCTTTTGCATGAGCTGCCATCAATGGTTTCTCCCAAGCCATCATGACAGCCTTGCTATCAGAGTCCATCAACTTATCCTCGCTAAAAGAAACCCTATCTTCCAAGTAATCCCCTTCAGAATCACCAGTCTTTTTTGTTTTCCTGGCGATGGTTCCCAAAATCAATTCAGCCTGAATTCCTGTTCAATTACAAACACTTATTTGTCACACATTATGTGATTTTCTATTCAAATTATCTCCTTTTAAATCAATATATTTAAACTAAGAATAAATTAATCTATTGCCTTTCTTTGCTCTAAGTGGTGTCAATTACTAACTTTAATGAACTACTCAGCTCCCTCTCATATTACACTTGAGGAAGATTCTATACTAAAATCAAATACAGTAAAAATTACAAACGAAGTTACGAATTACCAGCATTGACAAGGACTTCAATGGCTTCCTGGTGGCCAGAGTCCATGGCGAAGTCACCAGCAGACTGGTTAGCCGGAGAAAGAGCGTTCCAGGGCGCCCCAGCCTCAAGGAGAGCTCTGATAACATCGGTATGGCCGAGCTTGGCGGCGTGCATGAGCGGCGTAAGTCCATCGCTGTCGAAGTAGGAGGCGTCGGCTCCTGATTCTATCAAAGTTTTCACTTTGTCGACGTTGCCGTTTCTTGCTGCTTCGCAGAGTTGCTCTCCTTCAGTTTCCATGTCTGCGCTTGGGTTGTCGGGGTTGGTTCTGAAGACAGTGGAGAGGAGGTGAATTGAAACCCTGCCGCTGACAAAGATCAAGATGGATTTTGTGTTTTTTAGAGTTGTCTCCACTGAGCTATACTATAATTAGGAAAAGCTCCCCATAATTTTATCAAATTAAATTTATATCCTGAATGTTTTCATATCCAATAATAATAGTAGAATTTTTTTTTTTATTGATGATAGAGATTATGTTTGTTATTTTTTTAAAAATTATCATTTTAAATAATTTTATTATTATTAATAAGATTTATCTAATCTTTAACTATATAAAAGTTTTAATTGCATCAAATAACTTTTATTAAAAATATTTTATCATAAATATTAATAAAATATATTCAATTTATAAATATAAGTTCTAATTGCATAATTTCCATTAAAAATGTTTTTCTAATAGTATTGAAAATTTTATAATAGTATTGAAATCTAAAATCCAAAATTTTTAATTTTGATTCTTGAAAATAATATTTATTTTACTCTTTTCTTAGTTTACCTATTTTTTTAATATTTATAATCATTTATTTGATTCATAAAAGAGGATTTTGAACAATTTTGAGACTTGAGTCCAAACTTGACACCATGAATAGAGAGGACGAAATAGAGGCACATGTTCATGATTCTGAGACCCAAGTATAAGGGTAACTTCAAATATTCAACAAATCTCTTTTGACAAAATTTGTTCGTGCAATGAATATGCATTTCAATTTTAGATTCCGATCAATCTCAAATGAACCTGGTTATAAACGAAAAACTAATCCCTCTTCTCCAATTATTATTTATTTTTCCATCAAAGTTATTTACAATTTTATTTTTGGATCTATTTTTACTGAGGGAAGAAGGGGAGGAGATTGAGTAAGAGAAAGTTGGATAGAAATTTTGTTTTATCTTTTTTCTTTAAAAAATTAAGAAAATCAGTAATATTTATTTTTAAATATCTCAAAAATTAAATTTTTTTTTTTAGTGAGGTAACATCATTTGTTGTCAAATATAAATCCACTATAAATTATTATTATAAAATCTTAATTATATATAATTGAAATATTAGTTGTATATTAGATACAATTTTCTTTTATTTATAAACAACCAACTTTACATTTTTTAAAAATATTTGTATCTTATATATAATTATTACTTAAAAATAATTATAAAGTAAATATGTACTTGCAATGTGCATGACACTGAATATTAAAATATATAAAAATATATGATAAAATCAAATTTAAATAAAAAAGGGTAAAAATGAAGGTATAGATATAATTTTCATAACATACGGAATTATATAGGTTTTAGATAATGTAATAATGCCATGCCATGCCTTGTTATCTTGTTCGTTGATGTGTTCTTTTTTCTTTTCAAATGAGAATCGGCTCATGATTTATTTATTGCTTTTCAAATTGCCATTAAAGATGAAAGAACAAGAAAGAGAGATAGTGAACACGTTCTGGATTCAATCCAAAAAATAAAAGATCTAAAAGGTTAAGTATATCCACACGTACTTGACCTTATTCAAAGTTTCAGGCGCTGGACGAAGATTCGAACGCACGGAGATCTGACCTCACTTCGGTCAAAAGCGAACACCAGTTTATTAGTTTACTAGTTCTAGGGTGTTGACCTGTCCTCCGTCTCTTTTTGACACGTCGGCGTCGAAAACGACGTCGTGTGAGGTTAAAATGAGTGCTTCTTCGCGGCTGATTTAATCTGACCAGCGGACAACTTGAACCCATAATTATTAACATCATGCGGCTGCTGTGACCAGCCCTTTTTTGACCTTTATTTATTTGAAACTCTCTCCGTTTCTTTCTCTGACTCTCCCCCTTCTTCACCCTCTCCTCTATTTTGCCCTTTTGTTACCAATTTAAATCTAAAAGATTTTGTTGATCTGCGCCTTCAGTTCCGGGATTTTAGCGGAACTTAGATTTAATTAGCTTTTTTTTTGAAGAAAAAAATTGGGGGCGCAGATATTATTGATGTGGTTTCATTTAATTGTAATTAATTGATTAATTAATCGAAGCGGAATATTTTTTTCTTTTTGCGTTACTCTTTGGAAATGGCTTCGAGTTTTGATCGGTGGGAAAAAGATCCTTTCTTCTCTGTGGCTGAAGAAGTTCAGGAATCTGCTGACAGGTAAAATGATTTCCTTTTCTCATTTTGGGTGTCTTTTTCCGCCTGGATTAATTTTAATTTTTTTTCTTTGGTTTTGTGGAAATGTTTTGGAAAGTACGGAAGATTAGTCTTCGAGGTTGAAAGTAGAATTGTTTTTGTTAGGAATTAGGTCCCTAAATGCTAAATTAGGATTTAAAAATTCAATTAGTTGATGAATGCTCGAGAATGTGATTTCATTTGTATTGGTCGTTTTTGAGTTATTTGGAAGATAAATTGTCTTATGTCAATTTTGTTTTCGGGATTCCAAAGGATGGAATCGACATACAGAACCTGGATACACGCGAAAAAGGACGTTTCTAGTACCTGGAATTTGGAGGAACTTCGTAGGGATCTGCGTACTGCCCTTGGCACTACCAAATGGCAGGTCATCTTACTCTTTCTATCTTTTTTATGTGTGGTTCGTTTCGTGAATGTTTTGGTTGGGGTTTTGCTTGGTTCAGCATTGTGAGAAATCGAATTTTTGACTTGCAGTTAGAGGAGTTTGAAAAGGCTGTCCAATCAAGTTACGGTGGGAGTTCAAGTGAGGATTCTAGAGATAGGCATCGCGAATTTATTGTAGCAATTGAGGATCAGATTTCAAAGATTGAAAAATCATTGCAGGAATCAGCTCTTTCGGAGGGTAAGGCATCGATGCCTTGGGTGCATTTGGATGAAGGTGAATGCAATGAGCTTGCTTTATTTTTGTCTGGACCATCTGTATCTGGAGAGAAGAAACTTCCTCCTAAGAGTCATGGTAGAGAAAATGAAATCACACAAGGTATCAATAAAGAATCAGTGGCACATTGCTCAAAGAATCCTCAGTCTGTTGAGTGGAGCTCCTCTGAGGCTAAGGGCCAAAAGCCACATGGGCATAGGAGGACTGCTAGTGCTAGTGCTGACATTGGTGCTTGGAAGATTGCAATTGCTGATGATGCTTTGAATCAGAACTCTTCCAATGGTCAGGCCTCCATTCCCCCACGAAAGGTACCAAGCTTGTCTGGTTTCCTTGATTCCCTGGATTCTGTAGCCAAGTTGAAGTGGCCAAAGAATGGCATCAGGAAGTGCAAGGCGGTAGATCATCATCAAGAGTCTGATACAGAGTTGTTGAGACCTCCTCAGTTGGATAGGGTGAATGTCTACTCTACTTCTGTACCATTTGAAATATAGGTTTTGAGATTTGCCTTCTTGTTACCTTGTTCTGTGCTGCCCCACTAGTGTTTATAAGTTCCTATTTTATCATTTCTTCCTGCAGGGCATTAATGCATGCTATGAAAGAAGTAAGAGTTGCCTGAATTGCGATGATTGTTATGATAAGCAACTTTATGGCTGGTATGGGGCTATTCAAAGACAGCTTCAAAGGTCTCAGTACCAAATGCAATATAGCCGTCCCATTCAACTGTCAGTTTGGATTGTCCTCTTCCTTTGCTTGATTGGTGAGCTTGCTTCAAACTTGTGTTACTAGGTTTCAATTTTTTGGGCTTATTAACCTTCAATTTTTGGCAATTTTTTTATCATTATGCTAATTAGCAAAGGCAAAGTTCATTCTTCGCTGTTATCATCCTAATTAGATTATGTGCTTTATGCTACTTGGATGGTGAATTCTCATTCGACTGGAGTATGAGAACAATAAAATGTACAGAGAGTAAAGACTGAAAGGAGTAAAATAGAAGTGTATACGAAACGTGCCCCAAATAGACCACTAACAAATAGAGATGCACTCTCTAGCCTATAGGACCTTAGATTCCTTATTTCATAATATTTTGGCATATTTAGAGCATGATATTTTAAATGCATACTAATTGTGAACAAATGATCAGAGTAGATGAGTGAGACTAACATTAAGGTTAATGGTAAATCAGAATCCTAGATTTTTAGGTCAATCAGTATACAGTATTCAGTCTTAACAAGCTTAGAAATAAAAATGAAGATGGAGTAAAATTCATGGTCAAAAATTTCCTGAGAGTCTCATTTTTGGTATATAGGTTGATTATTCATAAGAGATGAGAGATTTGCAAGGATGTTACTGATAAAGCTAGAACTGGTTCAATGGAATGGAGAAACGCTGCTGGATATCCTATGATTGTAAGATGTGTATCAAGGTGATGGACATCTATAACAATTATGGTTTATGGTGCAAAGATTTGGGCAGTTATATGGATGCATTCTAATTCAAGAAAAGATAGGTTACAAAGAATGTTATCTATAAAGGATGGTGGCTGCTCTCACTGCAAACAAATTAAAAAGGGATAACTCATGATTTAGAGGGCATAACATAAGCCTGTGATACATAATATGAAGGAGTAACTCTATGCTGGTAGACACACTGAAAAAAGTAGGGACAGGCCAGAAATCACATGGGATGTATTAAAATAATTAGAACCAAGATTAACTACATTTATAGACTCCTGCAATCAATTCAGATTGTTTGCTTCTTATGCATTCAGATTGTGGTGCTAAGGCCACCTCTTTCTATATTTTAACCATATTCACATTTTCTGAAATTGAGTCTGTGAAAGTCTATGAAGCCTAAACATTTTGTTTTTGTATGCAGTTTTAATCGCATTTCATACAATATGAAAAGGAGACGCCGAATCTTCAGTCAGCAGTTTTTACTTAGTGGCTTGATATTTGGGGTGTAGGTGGTTGAGGAGTATAGATTGTGCATATTATACTCACTCGATGTTTGACCCGGGTAAGTTTTGGGTGAAGGCAGTACGTAAAAAAGCGAGAGCACCTTTTTTTGTCTTCTCTTTTCCTTGACCACTTCTTGTCTCTCCCTTCCAACATTGATTTTTCAGATGAAGGGAAAGTCCTGTAGTTTAATTGAGGAGCAGAGGGATGACTTAGTTGAACTGAGGCTGTTGGATCATGTAATATATGTTCTTTTTTCTTTTCTCCTTACAGACGAGTTTGTTGTATTAATACAAATCGTGTAGCATTTCAAGCCCCCCATCCCCATTTTTTTTTCTTTTAGTTGTAACCAACTAGCAAGCTGGAGAAGGGAAGTGGGAAATTTAATTAAATCAGACCTCAATTGTGGAGAGTGTTGAAGTTCCTTCACTTGTCTCATCTCATTTCCATATTCAACCCACCATAAACATCGATCATCTGATACATTATACATTGTAAGAAGATGCATTCAAAAATTATTGCTGAATTCTTATTGTGCAATTCAAATGTTTAATGGCTAATGACCTAGCAATAACTGAAGATTGTTGATCTCCATGAAATGGCTGCATCGCTTCAATGCCCTTTGTTTTAAGGCATATGCTAAGTATTATTTTCCAATTAATTTGTTGCTACAAATTTTATGGCTTAGGAGCTGAACATTTTTATTGCCAGTACTCATTGGTTCAACTCATTTACTTTTCACTTTGTAAGGGATGAGTTTTTGATGTGTAAAATGCATTTTATAGCTATAGCATTTACCAATTATCAAGGTAATTAAATATGCTAAGTTTCCTTCTTCTCAATCAACAAGAGCAACTCTCACCTGGACAGCAACTGAAGATAAAAAGGAATAAACATGCTAAGACATGGTAAAATTCCAATACTATTAACTTTCTAGATCGATATTTATGTCTAGGGAGAAAGACATTTTGAGTTTGGCTTGGTGGCTCATTTTGCTTTTTCTGGTGATACCAAATCAATCAGACCATCGATGAGCCTGTGGTCAGGTATCGGTAACTGAAGTAGGAACCAGCAACCAAGAGTGGCACAAAGAACTCGACAAGGGCTGCATATTTAGGCATGCTGTCATCCTTGATCACAAAAGCACTCATCTCTTTCGTATTTTTCGGTTCATCAGTCGACGCAACCTGGATATCTGCAGCCTTCTTCAAAGTGTAACCCTGGAGAACTCCGACCTGGTACTTGAGGAGCAAGTTTTGAGCCGCCTTGCTGTGTCCAATATCCTTGAATTCCTTTGTCACATCTTTCCCCGCTGACTCCAACAGCACCTCTTCTCCTCCTGGATGTTCTTCCACGAACTTTGTCACGTTCAGTACCTACAAGAGTTGGCCAAGTCTAATTATTTGCTACATAGATATAGTTTATACGTGGATGAACGTGGTCAGTACGCAAATCTTGGATGTGGATGAAAATACAGAGCAGGATTACCCTGCCATCGATGACAAGCCAGCAATCTTTCTTTGATTTGTGTTGAGCAACCTCTGAGAGGGTGTGAATCGTGTGTTCAGCCATTGGTTCTTGTGAGAAAGGACTGAAAAACGAGCGACTATGCTTATCTTTGTCAAGGCGACCCTAATTTATCCTAGACGGACGGAGAAGGTGGAGATTTGGGGATAAATGAAACAATGGGATCAGGTGAAAGCAAGGGACGGGTTAGCTCTCGCTTCCCCGCATGCGACCTACCAACCTTAGTGATGAAAGAGGCGGGTAGCACGTGCAGAGCAATGAAGATTTGTCAATTTGTCTATCTGGTGGCTTGTTATTGGTTAATGCTGTTGAGTAACTAGAGTTGGTCGACTTACTCGGGAGTCAGGCTGTCAGGTTTCAGCACAACAGTTCGATTGTAATAAGGAATGTTACTAATTACGACTTCCCTAGGGGAAAATGTGCAAGGTAGGGACCGAACGAAGACGGGATGAAGGGGCGGCTAATAATTATTGAAGAAGAGCCTAAAGGAACGACAACTTTGGGAGATGGGTTCCTAAGCCGCTCCGTTCCTCCCTCCTTTCCCTGGGACAGGATTACGAACGGAATTTATCACCACAGACAACTAGCACAAGTTATTTCAAGCCTTTGAACTTGTAACTTAACCCTAACGGTTAAGATTAATGAGCTTTAAATTGGAGGTTTCCATATTCAAGCTTTTAACGTGGACAATTCAATTTCTGGTTTGGATGGTAAAGTCTATGGAAATAAGAAATAATTATCTCTTTGTTTTCTATTCTGAAATTCAATGAATTTTCATTAGTGATTTTAATAAAAAAAGAAAAAGAAAAAGACGTTTGCTGTTCTATCCAGCTTGCAGCTTGTGTTTAGGCATGCAAAATCCATAATATTGCCGTCCGCATCCCTTCATCAGTCTCTCTTCCCCTGAATCTTAATAACCCTTCTTCTAATACTTCCATAAGCAGGGATACCACCAAAACCAAGAGAAATTATTCATAGAAGCTTAACTTTCCTTTTGAGAATGAGAACTTTCACCAAGTTAATACCATACGAGCAGTCTCAAGCAAGAACATAACGAGCTCAGCAATCAGCATCTCAAGCACCAGCAGAGAAAATATGGAAGACTATAAGGAAGCTCCTACGACACCCCCCCCATGGATGGAATTTCACTTTGTAAAAGAAACTCCACTCAATTTCATTGATTCCTCTCGCTGAACTTACATGACTCCAAACTGAACATTAAACATCTAAAATACAAAAGCAAATCCAAGATGTACCCTGTTCAATATGACTGTTTGTAGGCAAAAACTTGTGGATAATGCACTAAACTGTGACATTTCTCTAAGTCATGTTTCATTGGTTACAGGTCTTAATTCATCTCCAAACTGAAAAGATTACTGTGACACACGAATTTCCTTGGTGCTTTTTGGTATTACTTTGAGCTCACCATCCTTAGTTCGGTCCTCTTTGCCAAATTCCAAGCCTTGGAATGTGACCCTAGATGATCTGTATTGGCTACCGTAGGCAGACCCAAAGCCCCATCCAAGGCCAAAGCCAACCCCACAGCCACCACCTGCACATAAAGAATAAATCCCATGTGAACTTATGACTCATTCATTAGAGTCAGCAAAGCAGATTAACAAAGGAACCATTGGAGTTTAGTAAGTATTTAAAGGAATACCTGCACCAATCCCTAAGAGACTCAATGGCATCCCTGCAGATAAGAAAAGAAACCACAAGTGAGAGAAAAAGCTTATTACTGCATCCATGGAATGAGAAGGAGATATATTCATAAATTTCAATTCTAAGACAACCTTAATTTAGAGAGAGACTGCAAACATTTACATATTTTCACAAAATATGAAATAGAAGTCATTCAAATAATAATTAAGTTCATAACTTAGCCATCTATAGTTTTTCATATTGATCAATTGCAGAATAAAGTTAAATGGTTATCATGTATCCCAAACCTGACGAGGCAAAAACAAAAGAAATAATTTTATAAGGTTTAAAAAGCAAAAAAAAAGTAAACTAAGTTTAAGATTGTTGAACTATCTCTAAGCCCAAAAAGTGTTAAAGGTTCTAAAACTAAACCTTTATCATTATAATTCCATGTTATAGAGAGAGATACTATGCACAACATCCTTAATAGTTTTCTCACTAGCTACCAAAGTCAAAAAGGAGAACAGAAAGAAAGGGCCGGAGATCCAATTCCCATCAATGAAGAAAGCTACTATAAGACTCAACCTCATTTCCTGGCCAAGCAAGAGTTTGAGATGAACAGGAAACAATAAGCACATTACCAATTCTAAACAAATTGGCACATTCAGATCTCATCACACTTCTAAGTATCATGATTCAATTGCTTGCTAAATGAAATGCCCATCGGCAGCAGAAAAATCATCACCAAATAGTTTCAAAACATCCCGAAAGGTATCTATAGTAAGCTAAGACTGGCTGATGAAGTGATGAACATATAGCATATAACCCTCACAAACAGATGATGAAGGTATCATGATTGGTACTACATTCTCGTCTGACATCAACAATTCAATCTAGAGTCTTATGTCTAACATCAACATGCAACTAAAATTATAATCTTCAACCGACATCAACAACCAAGGCGACGACAAAGTCCATGTCCCATATCTCACAAACGATGAAAACAAGTACTGATAACTACTTCCTTGGATCAAATACGCATGATTGGAGCGACAGACAATCCATTTCCACTGTTTGGTACATATATTTCAGTCTGGGGAAATCTTTATGCATGACAATTAAAGGAAAATAAAGAGAAATTAAGCTGAAACATAAAATTTAAAAGAGATTAAAAAAAAAAAAAAGAC